TTTGCTTTTCTCAAGTATCTGTGATAGCGGTAATATCAATCTCAGATGATTGAAACAACCATGGATTGAGATAATTAATTCTAGGGTGGACTTCTTTCCTTTGGAGACTAGTGTGTAAGACTTTGGAGTAACAACCTACAGCTGAGTACAAGAGCTCCTCCTTCTTGGTAGGTCCTGAATGCCAATTTTATCCTCTAAGACCAATTAGTCTGTCAAACTTCTGTTTAGTTCTAGACTCTCAGACACCTTCTCTGTAACTGACCAATAGTTCCAGGGGAAAGTGGCTTCAAATGCCAATTCCATTTTTTTGGACTTCCCTATCCTCTTGTTTTGTGAACAAGCAATTCTTCCCCACAATGGTACTCTTTAGCTTTCAAGTAGATTTTTAAAATACATATTGTCCTTTTTCTGTAGTTGTTCTCAGAAGATGGTTTGGTCTGGAATACTCAGTCCATTATTGCCAGAAATACAATTTCTTTTTAACTCCCTATTGCTTCAATTTTCCTCTAGAGAAACATTTCAGGAGAAGTGGAATGGTCAATATGGCAACCATTTATCCAGCTATGCAGACAGCCATTAATTTTGTTGCCTACATCCCTAATCCTAAAACTTTGCCTTTACCCTGCTTACTCTAGGCTTCAAAATGAACTGTAAACAGGTAAAATTGATATTTTCCTCCTCTGAGATCACAAAGACAATGGCTCTCCTTTGAAAACTGGATAATTAAATTATCTCTTGTTGCAACTGAAATGGAATAGCACGAGAAAGACCATAAAACTTTAAAGCTAGAGAGAAACTTAAAGATCCAGTCTGGTCCCATTTCCTAGTGGAAGAAACTCCAGCTCAGTGAGACGGATGGACCAGCTCAAGGTCATACAGCAAGTTACTTGCAGAGCTGGGACTAAAAGTCAGTCATGCTACTGCTCAGTCCACTGCTGTTTCTAATGAAATATAATGTCTTCACCTCCAAGCCATCCTCACCATACTTCTTTTCATTCTGGATCATGCCAACTCCCATAATTTTTATAGGGAACTTAGAGTCCTTGTAAAAAATCATAGTTTATATGATTGGGTATAATGTGCAGCTTCCTCTTCTCTCACTTCAACCTTCCTACAGGTAACATTTTAATTAGATGACATTGTGTTTAAATGAGCTTCAAGCTCATCGTTGGAAGACAAAATCCATGGGAACCTACAATTTCTCTCACTTTTGTGGTAAAGAGGGAATGATGCTGACATGATAAAATAACCTCACGTGTTAACCGAGTTTTACTGTATTGATGGTTCCGTTCCTGACTTGTTGGAAGACATTGGATAAATCTTTTCACCATTCTTAGTCTTCATCTCCTTGCTTTTAAAATCAGGAAGACAGATTAGATCAGTGGACCTCAATCCTGGCTGCATATTAGAAACATCTGAAGAACTTTTAAATATACCTATGCCTAGGCCTCAATACCAGAGGTTCTGATTTAAATGGTCTCAGATGGGGCCCAGGCATCTGCATTATTTAAATTCTCACAAAGTGTTTCTAATGGGCAGGGTGGGTTGAGAACCACTGTACTAGATGATCACTACTGTTCTTTCCAAACCTTCAACTATGATTCTGTGAATAATCTATGAGGAAACAGCTATATAATTACATGCATATTTATAGTACATCTAACACACCTTAAAATATTCCATTTCACAATGCTTGCCAAGGGGGCTGCAATTTACTTTCAATAAGCATTAAATTTCCCAAAGCAAATATAATAAAGGCATAATCATCCTAAACATGACAGAGTATTTTCTGATTAGTCAATTCTAAAATGAAATAACATAACATAAAACATAACATAACATAACATACATATTTCTAGGCTTTCACATTTTAACCATAATTTCATTCTGCTGAGGGATCTTAAGGCATCTTAAGCCACCGGGTGCAGTGGTGCACACCTGTAATCCCAGCTACTTGGGAGGCTGAGACAGGAGGATCACTTGAGCCTAGGAGTTCAAGCCATGCCTGAGCAACATAGGGAGAGCCCCCCAAACTCAAAAAAAGAAAAAAATCTTAAGGTATCTCTCTAGGACAGAGGTCAAAACTTTTTTGTTATTACTGATTCAAAGAACTATCAGTGTATATTTAGTAATACTAACTTTTATTTGCAAAACTGTACTTACTTTAGAGATGCGAAAGAAGGAACAGTACTTATCATCCCAGTCTCCGCCATCTCAATGGCATGTTTTATTTCAAGCTTTTTATATAATGACACAATGCTTGACTTGGGTTGGTTTTCCCGAATTAAAAGCTTCCGCAGGTATTTATCATCAAACTTCTTAAACCTGTAAAAAAAAATGCCAAACTTTCAATAAATTAGTACTACACTGGCTAACAAAAAGTGTTTTTTTTTCCTTTTTACCAATAAAATCATTTCCACTACTCCCAGGAAAAAAACTTAGTAGCAGCACTTAGCTAGTCTGATAATTATACATATATATATATTTCATATGTATATACCTGTGTATCTGAACTATACATACTATATATACATAACACATTCTGGTACATGTTTGTATATAACTATGACATATATATATGTACACACATATATATTTTATTCACTAATTGTAGATTAAAATACATATCTTTCTTCTTTTACCATTTCTCTAGTTTCCCTTTCAGCAAAATGACTTAGAAGTGCTGTCACTACTTCTGTCTCCAGTTCCTCTCCTCTGATTCTCTGTTGAACATTCACAGTGCCTCCAACACTCCATTAAAGCTACTCTCGCCAAGGTTGTCAGTGAACCCCACAATATAAATCCAATGGCCAATTATTAGTCCTCACCTTTCCTGCCCTCACCTGCTTAAAACATTGTCTGCATTTGGCTTCAAGGACACCCTACTCCCCTGAGGTTCTTCCTGTTTCTCTCTCAGCCTGCCTTGTTGGTTCTTTTCCTTCTTTCTGACCTCTTAATATAGGAGTACTCTGGGGCTCAGTCCTTGGTCTTTCCTACCCCACACTCTTGCCCAGTCCCATGGTTTCAATAGCATCTCCTTGCCAATAACTCCCAAATTTGTGTCTCCCATTCCAACCCCTCTCCCAAACCCCGGCTGTGAGCATTTGGCTGCCTTCTCAACAACTCCAGCTGGGTATCTAATACTTGACTTGTTCAAACTGAACTGACCTTCTCCTAGCGTCCTCCCCATCTCAGCCAATGATGACTACACCGGGTCAAAATCCCTGGTGTCATCCCTGATTCTTCTACTTCTCTCATGTTCCATGTTAGGGGCTGAATTGTGTCCCTCCAAAAATTCATATGTTAACACCCTGATCCCTAATACCTCAGAATGTGACCATATTTGGAGATATATGGTCTTTACAGAGGTGATTAAGATGAGGTCATAAGGGTGGGCCCTAATCCACAATGACTGTTGTCCTCATAAGGAGAGGAAATTTGAACTCAGACATATACAGAGAGAGGGAAGATGCTGGGAAGAGGCAGGGAGAAGACCGCCACCTACCGGCCAAGGAGAGAGGCTCAGAACAGATCCTTCCCTCACAGTTCTCAGAAGGAAGCAATCCTACTGACCTACCTTGCTCTCTGACTTCTAGCCCCTAGAACTGTGAGACAATTCATTTCTATTGTTTGAGCCACTCGATCTGGAGTACTTTGCTGTGGCAGCCCTACAGACTAGTACTCCATATATGCTCCATCAGAAATTTCTGTTGCTTCTACCATCAAAATATATACAAAATCTAACCATCTCTCTCCACCTCTAATGCTATCACTCTGGTCCAGGACGTCAAGCTCTCTCACTGGATTCTTGTCCTGGGCACCTACTTGGTGTCCCTCCTCCCACCCTTGTGTTCCTACAGCCTATTCCCAACACAGAAGCCTAAGTGGTCCTGGTAAAATGTAAGTCTAACGACATGACTGTTCTGCATCTCCCCTGAGTGGAAGCACAGCACGGTGGCCCGTGCTGCCCTACACAACGTGGGTCTGCACCTCTGAGCACGGTGCCCCTCTTCCTGCGGTGCAGCCTCACCTCCTGTCTTACAGACTCACCAGCTGTGCTCCTCCCTCCGAGCCTTTATACTTACTATTCCTTCTACCAGGAATGTTCCCCAGATACCTGCCTTTCAGTCTTTTCTTGACAGTTACTTTCTCAAATAGCCTTTTCTATCCAACCTGTCAGAACTGCATGCCACCCTCCTCCCCGAGCAGTCCCTGTCTCCTTTCCAAGATGTATTTTTCTGCACAGCAGTTATCCCTTTCTAGCATGTTGTATAACTTATTCATTGATCTTATTTTCTGTCTCCTAGCACTGGAATGTAAGATCTTTAGGGGCAAAGATCTTTTTCTGCATCACCAGTGCCTAGAACAATGCCTGGTACATTGTAAGCATGTGTGGCAGAATGGGGGGATCCTTTGGTCCCAATTTCTCCCTGTATCTGCACGCTCTGCCATGTTACTTGACAATGTCCTTCCACCATGGCCTGGGTGACCTGCCCTGCCCTACTCACTGCCACTGGGCTCAATAATGTTACTTGCTTTGGTCAATGCACTATTAGAGGACACAGTAATGGGAGTGGAGGATTAACCTTGGCTTACATCTTGCACCTCCACAATCACCACGAGAAAGATATGCACAGAGTGGCTCCATAGCCCCAGGACCAAGGTGAACGTCACATGAAATGGAGTCAACTCACCCCAGTCACACCAGGTAAGGCCAGCCAGAATCAGCTGATAGCCAACCAACCCACTGAATCATGAGCAAGGCCAGCGCAGGTCAGCCACGCCCAGTCCAGACCAGCTGGCTCTCAGCCTCTTGACTCACAAATGACTGTTGTTCTGAGCAGCTGGGTTGTGGGGTGGTTTGTTATACAACATTACTATGCCAATATATAAGTGAAACAACATGCAATAAACATTTGTTGAGAAAGAAATAAGGGTACTACAGTGATCACCATAAGCCCAAAGAGGTTTATAGGCACACCTGTGCCTTGAAAGGAATCAATGTTAACCCACATTCTTCATGTAAGTCCTTTGTCCTACATACTGGAGGGCTCTGAATAGTTAAGGAAGAGCCATCCGGATATGCTTTGCTATTGACTGGCCACTGCACTGAAGACTGAGTCTACTTTTTTCTACTTTTATTTTGAATTTCATGTTGGGCCTATTAAGCTAGAACTCCTGACAGCAACACAACATCTTTTTTAAAAAATTTCTTTTATTATTATTATTTTACTATTTTACTAGAGATAAGCAAAAGGAAGAACAAACATCAAGGACAATGGCAGGCTCTATTTTGCATAGGGAATGTGTGAGTTCTTTCTTAGCTTCATTTCCACACCTTTCATTTCTCTGCCAAGCTACACACAGGTGTCCTCTTTCACCATTATTGGATTGCTCTCGCCGGGTCTGGGAAATGCCCCTATCGTATTACCCTTTCCCTTCATTCTCAAAGGATCGAATGCCTCAAGAATTCTCTGGCAGGACCACTGGAAATCCACAGCATAAAGATTTCAGAGGAAAGGGAAAGACACCCAATATGCCTCAAACAATCACTTCTTTCTTAATGCCATTTTTAGTAACATTGACAATTAGATGTGATATGACCAGAACTGATTTTAAAAGTGGCCTGTGTCGGCACCAAGTCCCCCCACACCCACTTCCCTGCTCTACCTGAAATACACAGTGCCTGTGACAATCCAGGACACTATTTGAAATTCACCTGGAAAAATTTTTGCATGGAAATATATAAACACTTATGAAATGATCAAATAAAGTATATCCACTGCAGTGAAGATGGAAGCCAACGTTGGCTCTGCTGTCTTTAGCACTTCCAGCCCAGTTATCCCGGCCGCCTTTAGAAATTTGCCGGGAGCGGATCACAGACCTGAGAGATAGTGTCTCTGCCTGAAAGACAGGATGTAGCCAGACCTTCTCTGACATTCCTTCGCTTGGGTTCCAGACCAAACCCACGTGACCATAGTGTTCTCCTTTTCCCTCTTCTGACAGTGCTCCAGGGCCAGGTGACCTCATGACATGCTGGCTCATATCTACTGCCCCCATTTGGGAGGCAGAGGAGTGGCAGAAATCTGGAGGCTAATCCTCACTTTTGAAAGGGAACAAGCTGTTCTGGGTTACGCCTCTCACGTGTCACTTCAGGGAAGTGCTGAGGGGATGTTAGAAAAGGGAAGAAAAGTGGCTGAGTTGGAAAAGAGAAGGTAGGTGGAAAACAGGCATCGCTAGGGAAACAGTGGAGAGGAGAGGCACAGGGATCTGTCTCACTGACTCAGCACAGACGGGGACCCATCTGTGTTAGGAAGTTCCCAGGGTAGAGAGTCATAGGAGACTCTCTGTAGGGTTCTGGTCTACCACCTGCCTCCACAAAAGTGAATACTTCGCAAAATAAATGGCCACTTTAAAAAATATTTTTTTTAAAATGGGGATTTTACTTTGCTTGCTTGATTTATTTATTTATTTATTATTTTTTTAGAGACAGGCCTTGCTCTGTCACTCAGCTGGAGTGCAGTGGTGCTATCATAGCTCACTATAACCTTGAACTCCTGGGCTCAAGTGATCCTCCTGGCTCAGCCTCCCAAGTAGCTAGGACTACAGGCATGCAACACCATGTTTAGCTAATTTTTTAATTTTTTGTAGCGATGGGGTCTCACTATGTTGCCCAGGCTGGTCTCAAATTCCTAGCCTCAAGCAATCCTCCCACCTCGATCTCCCAAAGTGCCAGGATATAGGCGTGAGTCACCATGCCTGGCCTTCCTTAATTTTATTACCTTGTGCTCCCATGTGGCTAACTGGGCATTCTCTCTACACGAATAAAATATTTTTTTCTTTAGTTGTGAAGTAAGGCTAAGTCCCAGGGCCGTTTCTACATTGTGAAGGTTCTAAGCACTCAAGTCTGTGTAACTCATTGTATGCTAGTATTCCTTAATGACACCTCACACTCTCTCACACACACAGAGTCTATTTGCTGTATGCCTGTTTTGTTGTCTATATTGTGCTGCAGAATTTCAGAGGCGTGAGTCTATGGCTTAAACTTTCTATGCAGCCCAATATTATGCCAGCATACATGAGCAAACAGGAAGCACTGAAAAAGTCCCTTATGTTAAATTACATAAATTCATAGGCTGGTCAATTTCATGTAATTTAGCAGTGGAGTGGAAAACAATCTGTTACCAAGTTAGGAAAGAAAAGGCAAGAGGGATCCACCAAGTATAGTTTAGGATGTGCTCTTCTGTCTTCAGGGACCAGCTTAAATGCTGCCTCCTTCAAAAGCCTTGTCTAGCCAGGGAAGTGCTGAATGTTTAACAAATTGTTCTAGGAATAAAAGGACCCTGATTTGTAGCATTTGTCAGGTCCGTGGTATAAACACTCCCAACACGGCTGATTCAAGTAGCCAGGGTGCATGGTGCCAAATGCACAGCCAGGAAGAGAAACACATTGTCAGCTCCCACTGGTCGCTGTGAGCTGGCACCCGTACCCTGCTTTCCTACCTCTGCTGTCAGAATGAATCCAAACTTCTCGATCTCATAACTCTGTTTCTCAATTTATATTAAAGCATGCATCTAATTCTGCCTGCCTAGTCTACCTTTTCCACTTCAGCTATAAGATCCTTGAAGACAGGTATTGAGTTGTATTTATCCACCACAGAATTTTTTACAGAAAGGTAAACTGTGTGCGTGCACGTGTGTGCATTTATATAAATGTATTAATATGTAACCTTTTAGATAATTTCAGCCTTCACAGATATACATCTATTATTTCTGATAGTCCATTTACATCCTCAGGTGCTCTGAATCTCTGCATTTGACAAAACCCCTCACCACGTGTGCCAAAATGGGTAGTAATGGGACGCCCAGTTTTTAACCAAGTACACTGCATTCCTCAGCCTCTTATGCGGTGAGGAAGGGCCACATGACTGAGCCCTAGCAATGTGGTAGAAGTGAAAGAATCTTGTGGCAGCTGCTGACAGCTTTGATTAGAAGGCAGCTAGCACATATCCTTTGTCTCTTCATTATCTTTCTCCCTCCCCGTAGCCTAGAATGGCTAATATAGATGCGGCCATTGTGGTCCCAGAGGCAGTCTTGGAAATGGAGGCCACTCTTAGCAGATCAACCAGACAGAGTGTCATGGGACTGGGGCAGGGGAGGGGGTGTCTGTGGAGTAGAGCTCATCTACTAAACCTAAACTGCCTACCTCTGGCTATTTATAGAAGAGAGAAATAAGCTTCCCCCTTGTTTAACCTACTATTATTCCACATTTCTGTTACAGCTGAACCTTATCTTAAAGGACATACTATGGTACAACAAAGGAAAGATCTGCAACTTTAAAGAATAATACAAGCCAATACGTCCTGCTTCCAGAGTGATCCAGAGCCACTTCATAATATAGTGGCCTAAGACCTTCTTACTTGTCTCTCCAAAAGTTGTGACCCCAATGTCCACAAACATCTTCAATCCCAGTCTTCACATGATCAAAAAACTGAAACACAAAAAGGCTAATTGATTAGTTTTACATGAAATCATTAATTTTCACTCTACTTATATCATGCCTAAATTCTAAAGGCCCTGCTAGTTTTTGCTTTCTGTTTGTTGTACTGAAAGCAATAAAACAATTAATCTTCAAACAAATTGATGAAATTTTTGTCATGGCAGTCTTAGGCCATTCCTAGATTATTCTGCTCATCATAACAGTTTGTTCATAATTTTGAAAAACATGAAATATGGTAATAATTTTCCTGTAGGAACATTTTCAGGTTGAAAGAAGTAAAAAGAGGAGGTTTCTTATCTCTGCGTTCACGTACACGTTTAGCAAACTAACCTGGAGACGTTACCATGGGTTATATCTGTTCTACACTCCCCTAGCACGTACCTTCCCCGGGCCTCCGTCTCTCCCCTCTGTCATTCCCCTTTTCTTCAGGAAATGCACAACTTGGTGTCAAGATGTTTGACTGATTCAAATATTTTTTATCATTTAAATTGTTACACTCTATTAACACCTACCCGACAATGGATTTCTTCACTGACAGCTTGCTGTTTCTTATTGGATCTCTTAACATCAAGAAACTCCACCAGTGGTCGGATAGTTATTCCCTGAACAGAAAAAAAAAATAATGAATTTTCTGATAAAATAAAATTAAAAATTCAGGAATAACTTCTCTTCTCCTAAGCTTTGATAACCAGCAACAAAAGATATTCTGCTCCCAAGATTTAGCAGCATAAATGTAACCTTTTGTTAACTTTTTCTTTCTTTCCAACAGCTGGCATACTTTTGAAGGACCATGTCTCAACACAAAACAATGGAAAAAAAGAAAGAACTTGAGAAAGTAACTCTCAGAAATAATAAAGCTTTATCAAGTTCAGAGAAATTACCTACTTGTTGTATTACCCATAGAAAACTTTTCAATTATTCCTTCATTCATTCATTCATCAAAATTATTTTAACTGAGCTTCTATTACATATATGTCAGGGCCTTGGGCATTTTGGACACAAAGATGAATAGTTAAGGACCTCATCTCTAGGACTCTGTAGTCTTATAAGAAGTCAGATATATCCAAAAACAGTTACAAAGTAGGCAGAAGAGGAATGATAGACACAGACTCAGGAGGCAAGTCAAGGCGAGCTTGGTGCAGAGGAAACAGTGGATAGCGGTCTTACAAGGTGTTGGAAGCATTTTCCAGCAAAGACCACAACACAGCAAACAAAGCCTCAGTAGTAAGAAAGGGCTCGCGGTCAGTTTGGGCCTATTCACGGGTGAACTTGGGAAATGGAGAGAATTATACGCTATTCAGTAAACCAGGAAGAGAAGAACATTTCTTAAAGTAACAACATATATCTACCAGAAATCGACAGTGAACATCTCACTTAATAATGAAACAGTAAAAGCATTTCCATTAGAGCCAGGAACAATACAGGTTGCTTTTTATGCTCTTTGGCACAGTTCTGCATGTCCTAGTCAATTAAATAAGAATAGAAAAAGAAAAAGTAGACATATAAATACTGAAAGTGAAGTGACAAGATTTTTGTTGCTCATGGATGATCTGGGGTTTTGTGTCCTAAAAAACTCTAAGATAATCCTTTTTCATTTAAAAATAACAAGTTTAGTAAAGTGACTAACATAAAATCAACATGCACAAAGCATCCCATATAGAAATTTAAAAATGTAAGAGAATAAAAACCTATACAATAGCAATGAAAAAATATATATATAAAGAAAGGGTGCATATATATATATACACACACACACACTAGTATAATATATATAAATACTAGTTTACTATATATACTATATATTTGCCCCCCTCTCTCTATATATCCCTATCATAAATGCATAAAACCTTTACAAACAGAGCTCTAAAACTTAACTAAAGAACATTAAAAAAAATCTGAGTTTTAAAAAGACACATACAGTTCCTAGATGGGATAACAATATTATGACAATTTTCTCTCAACTAACATTTATATATAATACAATTCCAGTAAAATATCCCTAAAGATTTTTTAACAGAACTTGACAGGTTGATTTTAAATTAACCCAGAAGAGTAAATGTAACCAGAAGATTTTAGAAAAAGAGTGAGGGAGGGAGAACTTACAGATACAAACCATCAGCTAAGATGCTTAAAAGTATGTAATACTGGCACCAAAACAGGGTAGCTGAGGAAGGATGAGAGTGTGGGGTGAAGGGAGAGTCCCAACTTTCTTGTTGGGGTGGGGGTAGATGGCCACTACTTCCCGGCAGGAATAACACATGAGCGGGAAGGGCTGTAGGGTTTTGGGGGGAAGGAACTAGATATCTGGAGGTATGTTCCCTGCCATGCATTTGATTTTCATCTCACCTTTCCCCATGTCTTGAAGTCTTTTAAGATGCTTTTTGATCATGCAAACTGACACACACACACACACACACACACACACGCACACACATGCCTGTTAGTCCAGCTCTGGGCATTTTTGGACTTAACTTTCATTTTAACTTTCTGAAATGTGAACTGATTTTGGCCAAATTTGGTATAAGACACATCTTGTGTTCTATTTGTATTTCAGTCTATCACTTTGAAATAACATAGAAGGTAATAACAGCTTTCCAATCAATACATGTTCTGTAATTTTTAACTTATGTAAATGAAAATGGGTGTAAACATGTGGTTTTCAGAGATAGGAGATTTTCACTGAGTTCCAGATTCCCTGAAACCACTAGTTTAATAATAGCTCAAGGAAAAGTCAACAAAATCAATGCAATTTTTAAAACTATATATTAATACTATGTTCTAAAGATTGCTGTTTCACATGCTTTCTTCCTATCGGCGTTCATTTAGTAAATAATTAGTGAATGCCCAGTCTTTGTAAATACAGGACATAAAAATAAAGACAGGACACAGGGCCTGTCCCCATCCCCGCGTTGATTCCTTCCACCTGACAGACAATCTAGATGTGAATGCACTGCCCTAAAAAAATCACAACTCGTCCACTCCAGGAAGCAAGCGCTGCCTATCACCCAGATCAACTCGTTTCTAAAAGTACAACATACTTATGTTTATAATTAATAAAACTTATAAAAATGTGTGTTTGTTTAAACAGTCCCTTTTAATAGTCACCCCTTTTCTCTTGGAATTATTTGCAATGGTCATGTCGTGCTCAATGGGAATTATTTAATAAAGGCTTCCTTCCTTCCTCTCCCCCTTCTTCCTTTCTTTCCTTTGTCAATCATCTATTTTGGAGGCAGAGTGCATGGCATTTGTGTATGCCATATTAAGCTCCCCAAGCTGGATGCTGTATTCTAGGAATCTCTGAGAGAGAGAGAGAGAGACAGAGACAGAGAGAGACAGAGACAGAGAGAGACCTTTTGAGAAAGTATCTTATTTTACCACACTGGAAAATTTCTAATTTAGGTTACCCAGGGAGTAAGCTGATAAAGATTAGAAAATAAAAAAGCTTAGTATTATCCATATGGGATTAAAAAAAGAAAACATAGTTTTCCATCAAACTATCAAAAATCGTATTTGCAAAGCACAAGTTAAATTTTCACCCATTCATTCAGCTTTGGCACAATAACATAAAAACCTCGGAGTCAGGCCTGACGAAAGGCATCATTTAACAGCAGGTACAGGAAGGAGAACAAGATGAGATTTGTTTTCCATCTTGTTCCATCTCTGCTTCCCTCACACCCTGCATCCCTCTGCTTCCACTAATATGAAGCAGGGGAAATAACCAACTACTGCATGATTATAACGAGTGTTCTTTTGGTTTGTTCCTTTGCAAGAAAATGAGTTCTTCTGTTGTTTTTTGGAATTAATATTTGCAAAAAAAAAAGAGGTGAAAGAGAGAAACTTCCTTACATTTCCTTGCTGATTTAGCAGGCAATTTCCAGAAAAAAACTTGAGGTAACTGTATGCATTTATTAAAAAATGTCAGTATCGTTGCTATGCAGCCATATGTAAGGCCTCTCTCACATTACACACTTGATCGCAGACATCGTAAACCGAGTTGTGTGAATAGTATTTATCTCAGAACCGGATAAGTGGAACGAGAGACATAACAGTGTCCGAGTAGGTGTGCCTGTCCTCCTCCGTTTGCCTTTCTTTCACCACTTCCCATACCTCACAGTGATTACTTGTTCCATGTCTGCTTCTTCCCCCAAACCAGATTTTCTCTGTCCTGGGTCGTCAGTGTTTCCCGCTCGACTGTACCTCAGTGCTCCAACATGCTGCTACAACTCCCGTCTTTTAAAACCAGAAACAAAAGCTGTCCTTTGGCAGATGTCCTCCTCTGGCCACTACCCCCTTTCTCTATCTGACCTCAGCAGAGTTGCCTGTATCTTCTATCTCCAATGTCTCTCTCAACTCCTCTCTCTCAAATCCAATCGATCAGAGTTCCATCCTCCCACCTGACCCCACGTGCCCTTGTGAGGATGGCCGCTCATGGCCGTGTGGCCACACCCAGCGGTCTGTCCTCCATTCCGACCTCTCCTGACCTTGCAGCTGCCAGCACCCTCTCCTCCCTGAACACTGTCTTCACTCAGCTTATGGGCAACTCCTGACATTTCTCCTCCTTTACTATTCACCTTTCTCAGTCTCCTGCACTGGTTCCTCAACATTTTCTTGATTTCTAAATATTGATGTTTTTAGGGTTCAACCCTCAGATGCCTTCTTTCCTATACTCTTTCTATACTCACTCTCTGAATAATTTCTTCCAGATTCATGCTTTAAAAGCCACCTACATACTGATGAATCCCAAATTTATATCTCCCACTCTCACTTCTTCCCCAAATTCCAGACTCATATATACAATTGCCTATTTAACATCTCTAGGTGGGTGTCCAATAGACAAATGTATATGTCCAGTATGTACATATTCAAAACTGTACACTCAGTTTCCCACCCTTCAAACACAATCCCTCCTCCATATTCTCCACTAAGTTAAAGGTCACCTGGTTGCTTTCACCTTGAAAGCCGATTGCTCAGGCAAAAACCCTTGGAACTATCTTTCACTATTCTTTCTCTCACATCCTAGACTATTCACCTACATTTTTCCATCTTAAAAAAGCCTAATCATCTTGCTCATTTTAATATAGGTCCAGAATAAATTATTCTGAATTCTATGGAATTCCACCTAGTAATGGTATATGTTAATTAAATATAAGGATAGTGTTATTATTAAGCTAACTAGATAGATAAAACATACGACCATTTATTTGACAAATGAAAGGACATTTGAGGGTCCTAATGATGTCTATAAAATAGTGGGCATCATCCCTCCAGTTTGAGAGGCTAAATTAGCAAAGGTTTATTTAATCGTTGGGAAAGGTCATCCCACCATGGGCCCTGAGCATGCCCACAGCGGGTACCAAGAAGGTAGGGCCTTAATTACCTGGGCCATTTCTCAGGTTTGCAAGCAACGAGCAATCTTGAGAGATGAAGTGATAGATTCCCAGGTTCAGTGTGCCCTTCCTGCAATGCAGTCCACGACATGTGCAGACACCCATCATGGGCCCTTGGTGTCACTCCCATAAGATGAAACAGTGTGGAAAACTGACACAAACCAACACAAAACTCTGGCTACTGTTTTTACCACAGGCAAGAATGTCCTTTGTTCCTGGCCTCGGAGTCTTCTGCCAGCATCCATAAAATAGTAACAGGCTAACTTGTCAGCTTGCAAGTAGGGTAAAGTCCCAGATGCCTCACAGTTCTGCACAGTGATTCACAGTAAATTCCACCGTTAATGGGCAACTGAGGCAGAAAGAGAATGCCATCTCTTGCATTCCAGTCAACCTTGCTACCTGATGGACTTCTAGGTAACCACTGAATGCATTTACAGAATTCTGGGGATCTGCCATATGATTACAGCGACTAACTAAATAATAGTTATTATACTCAAACAACTTTTCCTTCCAAAGAAAAGTATATTGAAAGAATTTAAATTTTTCTTTCTTTTCTCACCATTTTACTTAATGTTGTATATTAAAACATAGCAAATAATAAGGTTAAAAACTTGCCTCAGGTGTTATACTTTATAGACGTATTCCTTGTACTGCCTGGGTGGGAGGTATGTACCATCGTCGAGATTTTATAGCCAAATACACTGAGACCCACAGAGGCTGCAAGAAGCAGGCCCAGAATATCAACCCAGAACAGCCTTACTCTAAAGTCTTCACTGTATTATTACTGCACTCCATGAAAAACACCTTATATTTTGTATAAATAACATAACCAACCTTATTGAAAGGAAAACAAACTCAAATTGTTTGTTCACTCAATATTCTACAAGAGTATTTTCTTGTAGCATGTATTGTGCTTCATAAAAAAGCTACTTTCCCTAAATAGCAACATGATTCAAGTGATGTTAAAATTTTCATTATAAATTATGATATCAAATTACATCATGAAATTCTATTTTCGAAGATAGGCCTAACTCAATAGTATCAGGTTGGAAGAGCTTACCATATAAGAAATACTGAAATAAGAGGAGGAAAATATATTTAAAGGTTAATAACAGGTCCATCAGCATAAAAGTTGTCATTCGTGAAAGAAAACGTAATTCCTACTCAAAAGGCAAAACTTTATGCATGGATTTAGAATTAGTTATTCCTACTATATTTGTAACCCATTAAGTATTTCCCTCTAGGCATTTTTCACTGAATTCCTTAATTACTCATATATTCTGGAAAAGAGATCCTTTCTGAAGGGAGTGTGTATGTATTTGTGTGTATGCGCGTGTGTTCACAGTCTTGAGAACCAGCGGTAGGTGGGAGATGGGAGGAAGAGGAGGTGGGCAGCGTAAGGAACCAGGCAACAGGCACACATAGGTCTCCAAGCTCTGCACAAGGAAGGGTGGGACAGAAAGCAGGAAAAGGAAGACAGCAGCAGGGTGGAGCTGCAGCAATTTCTCTTCCCCATGGACATCAAAATGAGCTTGGCTGGACTATCCTTAAACATACCCAGAAGAAAGACTGACTTGCAGTCTCCAGATACTGATCCCCAAATATCTCCCCCACTGGAGGGTGAGCTTGATGCGTTCACAGTACCAAATGCGGCCGATACATCTCAACTCTTCTGCTTGTCACCTCAGTCTTTTTCCTTTTCCATCAGGACTTTTCCCCACCTTCATCTCTCTCCTTCCCTCTATGCCGCTGAGAACAGGTGGGACTTCCTGACTTCCAGCTTCCCCTCCGCCCCACCTCCCACACGCTCCCTGACTTTCTGCACAACTGCACAACACAAGAGTTACAAGTTATCCCTTGAGTGATGCTTTACTCCGCTCGGCTCACACCTCACATCTCACACCTGGTCTTGCTGAATAGTCCTCCAAAACAAACAAGACTGCGTCTACTTCTCATTTCTGCGCTATTACCCAGGGCTAAACCATCTTGCCTGGGCTACTGTGTGAACACCCAAATCAGTCTTGCTCCTTCTATGTTTGTCTCCTATAATGCATCTCTCGCCCAGCAGCCAGAAAGATCTTTTAAAAACACATCACTCCCCTGCTTAAAACCCTAACATCCCTAGCTCTCCGGGAGGCCGAGGCGGGCGGATTGTTTGAGCTCAGGAGTTCGAAACCAGCCTGAGCAAGAGCGAGACCCCGTCTCTACTAAAAATAGAAAATAAATTAATC